CGTATTTCGAGGTATCTATATAATGACAACATATTCAGTGTTTATATTTTTATGCGATGTGTACAATTTATGTTTGCAAGCATCAACAAACCTTCTGGAAGATTTTGGCTAAAGGAAGCATCATCACAGATTTTGGCTAAAGGAAGTGCTGATCTTAGATGAATCAAAAAATGGTGTAATCTTTGAGTATGTGAGATGACAATCTTACAGTTATTGACTTATCTTTATTATATAAATTTGTGTGTAAATATTGGCTTACCAAATTTTAACTGATTCACCTATTTTTCTAATTAAAAAGATAATCATCATCAATTATTTACATTACGAATATATAGAGAATATTCAACAGATTACCTTACTTATTTATTCATAAAAACTTTATTTTTAAAAACATAATCATCATTAATTATAACTGATTTCCGTATCTTTTCTAATTAAAAACATAATCATCAGTAATTGTTATTATTCCTACCTATTTAATATTCCGAATATATAATTCTACGAATATATTAATGACAGTTTTCCTTATTTATCAATTCATAATATATTTTTCAATATTTAGTTAGATCTTTCGATTTAAGTTCATTCTTGCAACTACTTTTAACCTAAACATTTTTGGTCCTATCTTTTTATTATAAATAATCCTTTGCGCTAATTGTCTTTCATCATTCTAAAAAAAAATCTTAGAAGTCGTATCAAAAATGGCTGATCAGTTCCCGTTGTTGACAATTAGCCAATTGCTTAATTCTAAAGAGGTCGTATGTAGATACAAAAAAATCTTCCATACTAATTTCATATTTATCAATTTCAGAATAATATATTTTCTTATGTTTTTCGTAGGTTGTCAAGTGCAAAATCGTGTGTACCATTTTAGGGATTGATATCGATTGGACTTTACATGACATGCAAGAGATGTAACAAAAGGGTTTTCAAGTCTATGAAGAGCGTAACATATTCTTGTGAGATTTGCAATAAATCCCACGTGACATCATTTGTTGCAAGGTATGATTTTTTTTTATTTTTTGGTCGAATTGTTGCAAGGTATGATGATAAATGGTTAGTTTGCATAATTATTTTTAGTGTTCTTTAAAAAATAGAGATTATCTAAATTTATATCCTGTCTTATTTTTTCAATAGGTATAACATGCATCTAACTGTGATCGATTTTTCTGGCCAAGCAAAATTTATTTTGTTTGAGAGTACTGCTTTCTCCATTGTGAAGTTAACTGTCGAGGACCTCATTAATGGAGGAGATTACAATGAGGTATATTATCTACTAGCAATTTTCGAAACTGTCATGATTATCAATGAAATAATCAAAACAGCTTATAGTACGTTTATATACTCCTCAGGTTGAGAATCCTGAAGAGTTGCCAGGAGTTTTGAAAAAAATTATTGGGAAAAAGTTCAATTTTCTCATTTCTACGGAGAAATTCAATTTTCGTGAAGAAAATGATATATTCATGGTTGAATAAGTTTTGTCTATACAAGACATACAATAAGTCTTTCATAACAAGTTTACGTTCATTTATGGAATTTAAAACAATAAATCTTATTTGATTACTTCAAAATGTTTTCTTGGAGATTTTTCTTCCATTTATGTATTTGTTTTTTACCATATAATAATAGTTTTTTGACAAACTTATCTTTCTCGAGATCAACTTCTTTGTTAACAATATGACAGACATATGTATATGCACAAAATTTAACATATGTACTCTCTACCTTCAACCTAGAAAACAACCATCATATTTTTCAAACTAATCGATTCTAATTACAAACTAAAACCATACATATTTAATCTTAGAACATATTATATACGACAAAATACTAAAGCTAAGTATAGTTTACAACATATACAACGAATGTTTCCGCACATAGTGCGGATGAGAATCTAGTTTTTTATTATTTCTAAAATCCACTAAAATAATGAAAAGACTATTTTTGTTTGTATTACAAATTTTTAAAACATATATTGTTTTATCAGAAAAGCAATAAAAAAAATTTTAAAATTGTTTTCATAAATTTTAATTTAATTTCATCATTATCGGAATAATTAATTTAAAGAATTTTTAGCTATATCATTTTTTTACTTAAAGATATGTCATTATTTTTTTCCAAACCATATCATTATTTTTCTAGAGCCAAATCCTAGTTTATAACCAATAAAATCAAAATATTTAAGCTAAGTTAATAACAGAACTTGGGTTTGGGTTTTAATTTTAGTGGGAAAGGGATTCTTAGATCCAATACCCCACCCCTTAGCCCATCTCAACTTAAGACTTAACCGGCTCTCATTCGCGCAGGTATAGGACATATTACTCTCCTCCGGTCAAAACCATGTCATATCCTCCGGTCGATACTCCCGTCGAAACTATTGTGACCGGTACAGATCTCTCTCTCGCTCTCGTAATCCATGATCGATCTGATTGTTTATGGTGTTCCTCGCAGGGCCGTGCTCACGTGTGTATTGGGACGTGGTGGATTTCCCGTTCCCTAATGGTGTTGTTCCTGATTTGATTTATCAGAACATGAAAAAAATTCTCGAGAGTAAGGGTTTTTTTGGTGAATTGTCAATCATAGCATATGTTAATGAGGAAAACTTCGCGGACGAATTGCTCGATGTTTATGACAAAGCCGGAATCACCATCATTCACCATCCCCATCTAGGTGAACCAACGATGTATCTTATACTTTTGTTTTTCCTTACCTGGTTTTATATATGTCTCTAATAATCTAGATCTTACTTTGACATATAGGGGAATATGATAGATGTCGTGTTATGTCTCTGGACATTGCTTGGTGGGCATACGGAAATTTTGAGTACCCTTTTAAACCGATAAATTTGATGTTAATCTCAAAGCTAAACAGCGACCAATCGTGTTTACTCGATTTTCTTGAAGATTGGGCAGATTCATTTTTCAATGTTCTCCTAGCAATGCCTCAACTTCCTGAAGTTCTCTCATCAAAGATACATACTGTTAGCTTTGACTGCCTTTCGACAGGACTTTTAGATGGAGGAAATCCTACGACCAAAGCGGAACCGTACAAGGTCATCACTCTAATTTACCTATGTCTGCTTCTCCCGGTACAGA